GTGAATGGGGGGTCTGCGGGGCCTGGCAGTGTGGGGGTTAACAGCGTCCTGCGTCTATTGACCTCCATTACAGTCCATAATCCTCTCCCCGTTTTCTAATCTGTTTTACACTCCAGTGAGCTCCCCCCCCCCCCCCAATCTCCCATCCTGGGAGGGTCCCGTCTGGATGGCAGATTGCCCCAAATGATCACTCTACAGAAGTAATCTCCCCTCGCTCTGCCTCAGCGAGGGGGGGTGCTGGGCTTGCTTCTCCCTAGTCCTGGGATGGGGGGGTTAGGGCAGGGGTGGATGCGGGGGTCAGGGGGCAGAGATGTAGGGGGTCCAATGGATTCTTATTAGAGGGCGGCAGATAATAAGGATTAGGCAATGATCTGTTTTCACGCTGTAATGAGGTCACCCCCCCCCCCCGGGTGACATGACGGCAGCGCTCTGATCGCAGGCCGCCATCCTTCTCCTTCATTAAATCATTTTCTTTCCACGTTGTCATTCTTGTACCTGGCGTTTGTAAGGAGACGGACCCAAAATTCTCAAGTAGGCCGCATCCACGCCTCTGGTGTAGGCCGCATCCACGCCTCTGGTGTAGGCCGCATCCACGCCTCTGGTGTAGGCCGCATCCACGCCTCTGGTGTAGGCCGCATCCACGCCTCTGGTGTAGGCCGCATCCACGCCTCTGGTGTAGGCCGCATCCACACCTACGCGTTTCCACATCTAATGGCACCCCAACCGCAGGCAGCAGACGCGTGTTTTTTGCACGGGGCAAAATGTGTGGCCAAAAGGTACGAGACCGTACGCCGGAGAGCGCCGGAACTTCTTTGGCCCATTTGTGAAGTGAATGGGTTGCCTTCTGCGCGTCGCACAAAAAAAGTGCAAAAATGCGCGTTCCCCCGATGTGCTGGCTGTGAATTGGACCTTTATATATAGACCGTTCCCCCACCGAGGAGATCCGTCTGTTGTCTGCTGGGGGCCACAAACACATTGGTGCTGCATTGTGCATTCATGTGTGTGGCTTAATGCAGGCCATAGACGGCCGTTTTTTCTTCCGATAAACAAAACATCGGTCGTTCGTTAAACCGACGTAACCACCAATTGGCCGACCGAATCATACATTTCTCTCCATATAACAGGCAAAACTTCTGTTCCTTCCAGGTCATGGCTCATGCGCATATTTTTTTTTCCGTCAAAACGATCGTACGATTTGACCATTGACGCGAAAATCACGCGAAAAATTTTTTTCCCCACTATGCGTGTTTTTTTTTTCTCCACTATGCGTGTTTTTTTTTCCACTATGCGTTTTTATGTTTTTTTTTTTTTCCCCCACTGTGTTTTTTTCCCCCACTATGCGTTTTGTTTTTTTTAATTGAAATGAATGGAAAGGCATGAAAACGCATGTCAACACGTTGCCTTAAAGTAGCTTCCCCTTTGTGCGTTGTGAGAATGCGCATAAAAACGCACGTGTTCCCGCAACGTGGAAACTTGGCAACCAAAGCGCGGGATAACAGCACCATACATTTTGGTGAGGTGCAGAAAGAGGGTCGTTCGCGTCTCTTGGACGATTTTTCATGTGTAGGGCAGCCTACTAAAATACAAAGGCCGCCTTGAACAGGATGCGGAAAAATTGCACAAAAACGCACATGCATAGACGTGGGCGGAGCCTGAAGCTGGAATCACGCTTAAGGCGATATTAAACCCAAAAGCAGCTCATCAAATCTTCGATGTGACGGCTGCATTCGTTTTTTTTCTTTTTTCAGGTCGCTTCCTTCTATTTTCATCCCCTAAGTCTGGAACAAGCTCTCTTCCACATCATGCAGGGGTGTCAAACTGACGGCCCTCCGAGAGCCCGGGGTCAGTAGGGGGCCCCATGAGATGTCCCTGGTACTTTTTTTTTTTTTTTTTTTTGTAGGGTTTGGGCAAGCACACAGGGGCCCCATGATCCCTTATTGCCCGGTGGCCCCAGGAGTTGTCAGTCCGCCCCTGCCTCCAGCTCTTGTGGAACTACAAGTCCCATCATGCCTCTGCCTTTGGGAGTGCTTGGCTTCGATTTGTTAGTGTATTTAAATCCGCTAGTGCATCTAATGCAGGCCATAGACGGTTCGTTTATCGGCCGAATTTTCATCCGAAAGAATAATCGTCCGATATTCGCACCGTTAGTGGGGCAATGTCATCGTCTGATTTTCGCGGTTCCTCCTCTTTTCTTTTATTGGTCATGCTGATAAATCTATGAAAAACGGCCGATTTTCGTAAGCATTGGTGGCAACAGAACGACTGTGTTTTTTTTTTTTTGTTTGTTTGTTTTTCGGCCAAAAATTCGGCCAATAAACGAATAGTCTATGGTCGGCAGAACACTCCGCTCCCCTCCCCCAGACTGGCTAAGCTGCTGTCTGCTGTGCCTCCTGTGTTCCTTCATCCAGACTGGGGGCTCTGATGGCAACAGAACAACCAATTTTTTGTTTTTCGGCCAAAAATTCGGCCAATAAACGAACTGTCTATGGCCGGCATAACCCTCCCCTCCCCTCCCCCAGATTGGCTAAGCTGCTGTCTGCTGTGCCTCCTGTGCTCCTTCATCCAGACTGGGGACGCTGGTGACAACAGAACAACCGATTTTTTGTTTTTTGGCCAATAAATGAACTGTCTATGGCTGGCATAACCCTCCCCTCCCCCAGACTGGCTAAGCTGCTCTCTGCTGTGCCTCCTGTGCTCCTCCATCCAGACTGGGGGCGTTTGTAATGCAAGAGGTGTTATTAGCCGGATCACCAGCTGAAAACGGGGCCAAAAAATAAAAGGAACGCAGCCGCCACACCGAATGATTGGCATCGGGCGCACTGCCTTGCATTATGGGAATGTTTTTCAGCATACAGGTTGGCTCCTCTACCTGGCACAAGCTGCGTATTATGAAGGTTACTTTTTCCATCCACCTGATTGGATGTTGGGATTCTGTGCTAATTCGGCAGAAATGCGATAGCGGCCCCCTGGTGTAGGGAGGCGCTCGGCGTGCCGGGCAGGCAGGGGTTAATCGTGCCCTTTCCTGGCGGCGGGCGCGGTGGGAATTGGCATTAGAAGTGGTTACATTTGATGAAAGATCAGAGCGGCGGATGAATCCGGAGAGGCGGGCGCTTCATTTGCTCGGCTCCTAATAACACGGGGAGGTAAATATTTAATACACAGGTGACGCTCTGGCCTTTTATTCAGGTTTCCAGCCGTGTTACATGATACACCCTGACACCGGGAAGAGCTCCGCACACGGCTCTGGGGGGGGCCACACCGCTCTCTACTAGGGGCCCCCAGGGGGAAGATCAGTGAAGCCCAAATACAAATAACCTCTTCAGATACAGAACATCTATAATGTGACCAATCAGGAGAGGCGCATGGAGGAAGGTTCCATTCATCAATATATATACATAGAGCCGGCTCTCCGGGGTCTGCCGCCCCGAATGACACCGACACCCTCTGTTCTCACTATTGGATGGATTCGGTATGATGAGCCGAGATCTCCTAAACACAAGCTGCCTGCCCATCATCATGCAGAAACATCGGACTCTCCAAAGTACTTCATCATCTTCTAACCACAGAGGGACGTGAAGCCGGCCATACAACATACAATGTCCTTCAGATGTACCGTCAACTTTATATATGGTTCTGGTAAATCTAAAGGACAGTTGTATCGTGTATGGCCGGCCTAAGGGTTACAATCTGATTGTACAATCTGCTCTCTCTATCTTTTCTTTTTCTTTCTCTCGCTCTTTCGCTGTCTCTTTCACTCTCGCTCTCACCCTCTCTCGCTCTTTTTCTCTCGCTCTTTTGCTCTCGCTCTCTTTTGCTCTCGCTCTCTTTTGCTCTCGCTCTCTTTTGCTCTCGCTCTCTTTTGCTCTCGCTCTCGCTCTTTTTCTCTCGCTCTCTTTTGCTCTCGCTCTCTTTTGCTCTCGCTCTCTTTTGCTCTCGCTCTCTTTTGCTCTCGCTCTCTTTCGCTCTCGCTCTCTTTCGCTCTCTTTTGCTCTCGCTCTCTTTTGCTCTCGCTCTCTTTTGCTCGGGCCCCTGAGCCCGAGTTTCCAAATGGTCATTCCGCCCCTGATAGTAACAATAATAACCTGTGGGGCCGGCCGTGGTTCGGTAAATGTGGACAATCATTTTTATTAGTTCCCAGCCTTGCCAATCGTTAAAAGTACATTGTTGTCACATCCAAGACGACCTTTAAAATGGTCGGTCCCAGTGGAGCACCCGGCCCCCTCCAGCAGTGATGAAGGGGTTAACCCATCAGCACGGTCTCGTGTTTCCTTGCCGTGTTTGCACTGGTGGGTCTGCGTGCGCCGGGTCGGGATCAGATGTCGCAGGAAACTGCGGGGATAAAGCCATGAAAGGCGCACGGATTAAATATTTACTCTCTGCCCTCCCTGTGTTGTCTGTCATCCTGAGCGCAAATTATCCCAACAATAACCTGACCGCCGAGGTGCAAGGCGCCTACGGGTCACGTGACACTTTCTCTGTCTTCCCTTGTATCCCCGGAGAGAGAGCGACGAGGGGACCCGCGCCAATTTCAGACTGGGGGGGGGGGGCTGTCCATCCAAATATTACATAATCCCCCCAAAAATATTCTCATACTCATGGCGGTTATTAGCCGACGTGGATGTAAAAGGAATAAATGGATCATCGTTTGATCTCATTCATCCTGTAACAATATAACAAATGTTTCTGTAGAGCTGTATTGGCGAACCTTTATTATATTGCAGCTTAACAATTATTACATGTGGTGGCTGCATTAGTTTTTGTTTTTTTGTTTTTTAGGCTTTTTTTTTCATCTGGTGATCTGGCCAATAAGTCTGTTTTTCAAAAGTACAAGTTCTGCAGATGTAACAGGCTCAGGGGCGGACTGACCATTTGGGAACTCGGGCAGTGCCCAAGGGCCCAAGGGTCAGTAGGGGGCCCCAAGAGATGCCCCTGGTACCTTTCATAGACTTTTTTGGGTGTGGTTTGAGTGTAGGCGAGGACACAGGGGCCACATGATCTCCTATTGCCTGGGGGCCCCATGAGTTGTCAGTCCGCCCCTGGTTAGGCTACATTCACACTAGCCTTGTTGGCAAGCGGCAGACAGGCGTTTGGGAAGCGTTTTTACAGTTTCCCAAATGCCTGGGGGTGTTTTTTTAACGCTTGGCAAATGTCTATAAACCCGCGCATGCAGAGCGTTAAAAATGCTCCGCAAACGCTGGACCAACACTTGTCAAATGCTATAACGGCGTTGGAAAAACAGTCAAGTGTGAACGAGCCCTTAGAGGGTTGAGACAAACCATTTACCACTGACCAGGGGTGCTTACCATCATCAGCTTTTATTTATGGAACGCCTTTATCCCAAAAGAAAAACAGTTTGCTGTAACCGCTTATAAGCCCTCCTGCACACGGGATGTTTTTATAGCGGCTGTTTTTGGCTTTTGATGTTTTTTTCTACAGCCAGTAACCCCCCCCCCCCCAGCATGTTCTCCTATGTGTCCATCCCCAGCGTGTTATCCTATGTGTCCATCCCCGGCGTGTTCTCCTATGTGTCCATCCCCGGGTGTTCTCCTATGTGTCCATCCCCGGCGTGTTCTCCTATGTGTCCATCCCCGGCGTGTTCTCCTATGTGTCCATCCCCGGCGTGTTCTCCTATGTGTCCATCCCCGGCGTGTTCTCCTATGTGTCCATCCCCGGCGTGTTCTCCTATGTATCCATCCCCCGCGTGTTCTCCTATGTGTCCATACACACACAGACTGGAATCAACGTTTTTTTGGCTGGAAAAAACCCAGAACTAGTGGGCTTCTAGAGGAGTTTTTTTAGCTGTAAAAACGCGGTAATGCTGAACGCCGTCACGCACACGGGACGTTTTGCTAACGCTGGTAACATTAGCTGTGTAAAGGCATGTGAAAAACGTGAGTTTTTCAGCGTTTTTGCATTAGCGTTTAGTGGCTGTTTTCCACGTTTGCAGTTTTTAGTGTGTTTTTTTTTTTTTTTTTTCAAAGTCAATTTCAATTTTTTTTTGGTCAAAGTCCATAAACGCATTTTGCCACATTTTTCAGTGTTAGAGTGTTTTTACATCTGAAAACCTCCTCTAGAAATTCCCTAGATTTGGGTTTTTTTTTTCTATACAGGAAATGTTGATTCCAGTCTGTGTATGTATGGACAAATAGGAGAACATGCCGGGGATGGACACATAGGATAACATGCTGGGGATGGACACGTAGGATAACATACCGGGGATGGACACACGTAGGAGAACATGCCGGGGATGGACACATAGGATAACATGCTGGGGATGGACACGTAGGATAACATACCGGGGATGGACACACGTAGGAGAACACGCCGGGGATGGACACACGTAGGAGAACACGCCGGGGATGGACACACGTAGGAGAACACGCCGGGGATGGACACACGTAGGAGAACACGCCGGGGATGGACACACGTAGGAGAACACGCCGGGGATGGACACACGTAGGAGAACACGCCGGGGATGGACACACGCAGGAGAACATGCTGGGGGGTTTATTGACAGTAGAGAAAACGTCAAATCCCGTGTGCAGGAGGGCTAAAATGTGGTAAAACGCTTTAAATCGCGTCAAACCAGCGAAAAATTGGACTTTTTTTGAGTTAAAAAAAATAATTTTTTTTTTTGGTAAAAAAACCTCTATAAAATGCTATCAAACGTGAAAAAGTGCTGCAAAACCCTAATTCAAAAACGCTAAAAAAACACTGAAAAACTCACGTTTTTAACGTGACTTTGCACAGCTAACGTTACCGGCGAAATTAAAGGCCCCCCCCACCCCCTGTGTGTATGGGGCCTGAAGTGTGAGCTGGAGTTTTGCAGGTCATAGACGGGTCGTTTATCAGCCAAATTTTCATCCGCACAAAAAATCAGCCGATAATCACGCCGTTAGTGGGGCCAGCCCGTCGGCCTTTTTTCGTGGATCTTCTCATTTATTTTTATCGGTCATGCTGGAAACATGGGTGGCAGCATCGGCAATGGGGCCGACCGATTTTTTGTTTATCGCCCGAAAATTCGGCCGACAAACGGCCCGTCTATGGCTTCAATGTGTTAGTGTATCTAAAGCTACTAGTACATAGAACACTCCCATCCTCCCCAGACTGACAGCGCTGCTGTCCAAAAGGTGCTCCTTCCTCCAGAGTGGGGGCGCTCTAATACAGGAAGTGTGTTACTGGCCAGATCACCAGGTGAAAACGGGGAAAAAAAAGCCTAAAAAGAAATGCAGCCACCACATCTAATGACTGGTAAGCTGCAATATATCACATCTTTGGTTTTGGGTTTAATACCGCTGCATTCCTGCGCATCGCGTGTAGGGCAGTCCATTCATTTCGGTCAGCTGCCCTAACCGCAGAAGAAGTCCCGTTGCACCACACTACATGGCGCTGCCGTACCGCGCGTTTTGCACACGGGCCATTAAGAATTATTTTAGAATTAAAGGCACCGCTGGGCGTCTGCTTAAAGGCAACGCGTTTCTGCGCACGTCGGGAAAGCGTGCGATTTTGCAAATGTTCTTGACACGCAAACAGTCAGCATAGCCTATGTTCCAACCTCTGAGCCTCTCAGCAATATCTTTCAAAAATCAGGCGCGGCATTCACAAATACAACTGAGCGTACAGCGGCGCCCTGCCAATGAAACCTGTTGCCACCTATGTAATGAATATGCGCAGCGGCAAATAGGGCGAACTTTAACACCCACATGCTGCTCATATGTGCCCATGGGTGGCAAAGCCCGCTTGCTGCATGCTTCCAGCACAGTGACTGAGCTGTCAAGGACAGCTCTTGATCTCTAGTAAAGATTGGGAGCTGCCAGGAGCAGCTCCCGATCATGTGACCACTGTGAGAGCCAATCACGTGATCGGGCAGGCCTTCCCCATCCCACCGGAGGTAATAACCCCGTTAACTGGATGCCAGGGCTGGGCGAGAAGGGGTTAATAAGCAGGACCTGTGGGGGTATCATTGATTCCATTATCCAATGGGAAGAAAGAATAGGACACAGCTGAACAACCCCCGCACTGCCAGGTGAGGGCTCTAGGTGGTGTGCCTGGTTCTGATCCAGTGAATGTGGTTATTGTGGGCTCTATAGATATATCTAGAACCGGGGGGGGGGTGTATTCATCCTCTGTAGTACTGATTGGGCTTGGTGTGAAGTTTGCTGTGTGGAAGGATTGCTCTGTATGTCGACGCCCAGAGCGTCGCGCTGCGCTAGCCAATTACCAGTTGGCGCATTGTTCCAGACATCATGGCCGTCCAGAGACATAAAGGAAACTTATAGAGGGAGGAATGTGGAGGCCGATATCACTGACTGCTTATGGGAATGCTGCTTGTTTGGCTGTCATGATGATCCAGTGGATTTAAAGCTGAACTCTGGTCAGCTCTATAAAAAATGCCATTAGGGCCCATCTCCCTCATAAGGAGCCAGTCTGGCCAATCCAGGAGCCAGGAGGGTTTCTCTAGGAGCCGGCTCCATTGACCACATCTACGTGCCAGCTGAAATCTTTATAGTGGTATTAAACCCTCAGTGGTTTTTTTTTTTTTTTTTAAAGTTTAACACATTGTGCACAATTACAATCAAAGATTCCGCAATGCTTTTTTAAAATTCTTACTTTAGCACCGTCCCTCTCTCCTCTCTCGCTCCCCTCCCTCTCTCTCTCTCTCTCCCCCTCTCCTCTCTCTCGCTCTCTCCCTCCTCTCCTCCCCCCCTCTCTCCCCTCTCTCCCCCCCCTCTCTCCCCCCCCCTCTCCTCTCCCTCTCTTGTCCCCCCCCCCCCTCCTCTCTCTCCTCTCTCTGTCTCCCCCTCCCTCTCCTCTCTCCTCTCTCTTCGCTCTCCCCCTCCCCCTCCTCTCTTCTTGCCTCTCTCCCCCTCTTCCTCCCTCCCCTCTCTCCTCTCCCTCCCCCCCCTCCCCCTCCTCCTCCCCTCCTCTCCCTCTCCTTCCCCCCTCGCTCTCCCCCCCTCCCCCCCCCCTTCCCTCCTCCCCCCCCTCCCTCCTCCCCCTCCTCCTTCCCCCTCCCCCCCCCCCCTCCCTCCCCTCTCTCCCCCCCTCCCCCCCCCCCCCCCCCCCCTCCTCCCCCCCTCCCCTCCCCTTCCCCCCCTCCCCTCCCCCCCCCCCTCCCCCCCCCCCCCTCCTCATCCCCTCCCCCCTCCCCCCCCCCCCCCCCCTCCCTCCTCCCCCCCTCCCTCTCCCCTCCCCCCCCCCCCCCCCCTCCCCCCCTCCCTATTCCCCCCCCCCCTCCCCCCCTCTCCCCCCTCCTCCCCCCTCCTCCTCTCCCCCTCCCCCCCCCCTCTCCCCCCCCCCCCCCCCCCCCCCTCTCTCCCTCCCCTCCCCCTCTCCCCCCTCCCTCTCTCCCCTCTCCCCCTCTCTCCCCCCCCCTCCCTCCCCCCCCCCCCTCTCCTCACTTCCCCCCCCCCTCTCCTCCTCCTCTCCCCCCCCCCTCCCCTCCTCCCCCTCCCCCCCTCCCCTCCTCCCCTCTCCCCCCCCTCTCCTCCCTCCCCCCCCCCCTCTTCCCCCCCCTCCCCCCCTCCCTCCCCCCCTCCCTCCCCTCTCTCCCCCTCTCCTCCCCTCTCTCTCCCCCCCCCCCCCCCTCCCCCTCCCCCCCTCTCCTCTCCTCCTCCCTCCCCCCCCCCCCTCCCTCCCCCCCCCCCCTCCCTCCCCCCCCCCCCCCCCCCCCCCCCCCTTTCCTCTCCCCCCCCCCCTCCCCCCCCCCCCCCCCCTCCCCCCTCCTCCCTCCTCTCCCTCTTCCCTCCCCCCCGCGCTCTCCCCCTCTCCCTCTCTCTTCTCTCCCCCCCCCCCTCCCCCCTCTCCCGCGCTCCCCCCCTCCCCCCCTTCCCCCCCCCCCCTCTCCCTCCCCTCTCCCCCCCCTCTCCCTCCCCTCCCCCCCTCCCCCTCCCTCTCTCTCTCCTCCCCCCCTCCTCCCTCTCTCCTCTCTCCGTCTCCCCCCTCCCCCCCCTCTCTCTCCCCCCTCCCCCCCCCCTCCCCCCCCTCTCTCTCCCGCCCTCTCCCCCCTCCTCCCCCCCTTTCTCTCCCCCCCTCCCCCCCTCCCCCCCCCCCCCCTCTCTCGCGCGCTCCCCCTCTCCTCTCCCCTCTCGCGCCCTCCCCCCCCCTCCCTCGCTCTCCCCCCCCCCCTCTCCTCTCCTCCCCCCTCCCCCTCTCCCCTCCCTCCTCTCTCTCTCTGCGCCCCCCCCCTCCTCCTCCTCCTCCCCCCCCCTCCCTCTCTCTCCTCTCTCCCTCTCCCCCCCCCTCTCTCTCCCTCTCTCCCGTAACCCCCCCCCTCTCCTCTCTCTCTCCTCTTCCCCCCCCTCTCCTCTCCCTCTCTCGTGCCCCCCCCCTCCTCTCTCTCTCCGCCCTCCCCCCCTCTCTCCTCTCCTCCCCCCCCCTCTCTCTCCCCCCCCTCTCTCTCCCGCCCTCTCTCCCCTCTCTCTCTCCCCCATCTCCTCTCTCTCGCTCTCTTGCGCGCTCTCCCCATCCCTCCTCCTCTCTTTCTCGCTCGCCTCTCCCTCCTCTTTCTCTCTCGTGCTCTCTCCCCCCCCCCTCTCCTCCCCCTCTCCCCCTCTCGTCTCTCTCCCCTCCCCTCTCTCTCTCGTGCTCTCTCCCCTCCCCTCTCTCTCTCTCGTGCTCTCTCCACTCTCCTCTCTCTCTCGCCCTCTCTCCCCTCTCTCTCTCTCGCCCTCTCTCCCCCCTCTCTCTCTCTCTCCCCTCTCTCCCTCTCTCCCTCTCCCGCCCTCTCTCCCCTCTCTCTCGCCCGCCCCCCCCCTCTCTCTCTCCCCCCCCCCTCTCTCTTGCGCTCCCCTCCTCTCTCTCTCTCTCGTGCTCCCTCCTCTCTTTCTCTCTCGTGCTCCCTCCTCTCTTTCTCTCTCGTGCTCTCTCCTCTCCTTCTCTCTCGTGCTCTCTCCTCTCCTCCTTCTCTCTCGTGCTCTCTCCTCTCCTTCTCTCTCGTGCTCTCTCCCCCCTCTCCTCTCTCTCTCGCACTCTCTCATTTCTCTCTCTCTCTCTCCCCTTATTATTTATCTCTCGCTCTCTCTCGACGTTCTTTCTCTCGTTCCTCCCCCTCTCTCCCACCCCCTCCCTCTCTCTCTCACTCTTGTGCTCTCGCTTTTTCTTTCTTTCGCTTGTTCGCTCTTTCTTCCCGAACTTCCACTCTCTTTCTCAGCAAAGAGTTAACAGTGGACAGTGCAGTCTGCAGGAGTCAGTCTGTTAGCTTGGAGGAAGGAAAAGCAGCAGAGTGCATTGCCATCCTAGGCTATAGGGCTGTGTGCTTCTATTGATGCACACAGTGTAGGGAGACACAACTCTAGTCCCTGCATGCAAGGGGGGCTTGATAAGACGCTGCAAGAAAAAGAAGCCACCCTGAAACTGAGAACTGGGGGCAGCGATCATGGCACCAACTTAAAACAGGGAGTAAAAGATAAAGGAGCAGCATAGTTAGTAAGTGATTGAATCAGCTGCTGAAAGTGGAAAACTGAGTGTAATACCACTTTAGGAAGAACTCCAGGAATGAGATTAGATAAAACACACAAATAAATGA